AAAAAAAAAAAAAAAAGAAACCTCATCTCTACTGAAAATACAAAAAAGTAGCTGGGTGTGGTGGCACACGCCTGTAGTCTCAGCTACTCGGAGGCTGAGGCAGGAGAATCCATTGAACCTGGGTGGCAGAGGCTGCAGTGAGCGGAGATCACACTATTGCAATCCAGCCTGGGTGACACAGCAACATTCAGTCTCAAAAAAATAAATAAATAAAATAAAATAAATAAATCACAGTTTTAAGGTTTACTGTAGTTTAAACTTTAGATCAAAACACTATTCTGGGGTTTTTTTAGAGACAGTTCCTACAGGAGACCTGAAAACACTAAGTACACGACAAATTGGTAGAGGCTGCTGAATCAATCATTCTCACAGCACACTGAAAGCTATTCAACAAACCAATAGCTAATACTTTACAATAATTCAGTAATGGTCAGGTTTCTGCAATGTCTGTAAAATCCCTGTATATAATATGAACCCTCAGGAGAGGGTGATACTTACTGAGGCGCTACTTCTCAATAAATATGCTTTATTTACTCATTCAATAGTTATTTATCCTATTTAGGGAACACTTATAAACCATTGGTGGAATTGTAAGTTAGTTCAGCCTCTTCACAAAGCAGTTCAGAGAGTTCTCAAAGAACTAAAAATAGAATTACCATTTGACTCAGCAATCCCATTACTGGGTATATACCCAAAGGAAAATAAATTATTCTACCAAAAAAACATCTGCACTTGCATGTTTACCACAGCACTATTCACAATGGCAAAGACATGAAATCAATCTAGGCGCCCATCAATGGTGCACTAGATAAAGAAAATGTGGTACATATATACCATGGAATACTACACAGCCATAAAAAAGAACAAAATTATGTCCTTTGCAGTAACATGGATGCAGCTAGAGGCCATTATCCAACATGAATTAACACAGAACTAGAAACCCAAATACAGCATGTTCTCACTTACAAGTGGAAGCTGATCACTGGGTACACAGGGAGATAAAGATGGGAACAATAGACACTGGGGACTCCAAAAGGCGGGAGGGAGAAAAGCAAAGGGTGAAAACGATCTGGCCAGGTGCGGTGGCTCATGCCTGTAATCCCAGCACTTTGGGAGGACAAGGCAGATGGATCACCTGAAGTCAGGAGTTCCAGACCAGCCTGGTCAACATGGTGAAACACCATCCCTACTAAAAATACAAAAAGTTAGCTGGGCGTGGTGACGGGTGCTTGTAATCTGAGCTACTCCGGAGGGTGAGGCAGAAGAATTGCTTGAACCTGGGAGGCAGAGGTTGCAGTGAGCTGAGATCATGCCATTGCACTCCAGCCTGGGCAACAAGAGCAAGACTCCGTCTCAAAAAAAAAAAAAAAAAAAAAAAAAAAAAAAAAT